ATTTTTGGAATTTATTATAATTTATTAGTGAAATTTAATCATCAAAAATTGGCATTTTTAAGATTCCCTCGCAAATTTCTAAAACGCAAAGCTATTGGTTGAATAAAACGTGACGTCAACCTACACTGTCAAGAGTGTCAACAAGTTGTGTGTATTTGTAATATTTTGTTTCTGGTGATTATTTGTTTCATTTTAAGTTAATAACTAATACGTTTTTAGTGTTAAATTATTAAATTCCCGTGTAGAAAGACTCAACACAATGACTGAATATACTTTGTCAGGTGCAGTTTTGAATTTGGGCACAAAGGGACGGCGCAATATTTATAATAAGTTTTTATTGGCTTTCCATGGTAATAAGTTAATTTTTATCTCACTTTTTTAACTTTCAGAAACTTTGTGAACTTAACTCCGTTGTTGACATCGAATTCGTCTGAAAGTGTAATCTGACGTCACAAAAAAAGCGCGCCAAAATGGACGTGTTCAAATTACCCCAAAATGATAGTGATTTTAATAATTTTTTTTTGCTTAACGGTTTATATTTCGGATGTGTTATATTTATTTTTGGTAATGTAATAACTAGTAGAATCGATAAAAAAAAATTACGTGCATATTCCCTATTGCCAGGAATCGTCCAACGTCATTAACTGCTCCAAAGAAAAAAAAAGATATACTACACGGCTATTAACACCTGAATATAATAAAGCCTTAACTGAAGGTAAAACGATAATCTAATGCTTTTATTATTTATTACGTTGCCATGAATAGCGAGGTAATACGGGCCGACTACTTATTTTGACCATGATGACTGAGAAATGACAATTTATGGTGGAATAAAAATACAGTTAACAAAGAAAATTGTAGGATAAGAGAGCAAACGAGCTGTCGGGTTACCTGATGGCAAGTAACTGCTCCTGCAAATAGACACTTATAACTAAAGTGTCATAAGTGTCGTCCTTTGAGTCCTCTCCCTAAAAAAAGGGGGAGGAGGGGTTTGGGTTTGAACTTTTCGTTGGAAATAAAGACTGTAGGGCGATGTGGCTGCTCGATGTGGCTGTGTCTAAGGCGGGTTGTTTTACCTCTTACTGTGCAGAGCAGTGAGAGGCGCTGTAGCGTCCTACCCCGGGGATGACTACGGTCAACCCGGCATGTGCCCGGTCATAAGGACGGCAGAGAGGACTCTAGAAGACGCAGAGCGTTCCTGGAGCTCCCCCCGACTGAAACAAGATGGCGTTGTATCAGTTGCCTGAAAAAATTATAATATTTCAGACATATAACACACAACGACATCTAAAAAACCAACAAACGTGTAGGTTTACAACGGTTTTCTGTGGTATGGTATGTATTTAGAAACATATATATGTCCGAAAAAACGCAATTGGCTTGTCAACTATTAAGTAAGAGTGCCTCATACTATAGTTAATAAAGAAGAAAAAAAACGAAAGACGACGAAAAAGAGTGTCATATTGTCACATCAACAGCCTTTAATAGTGTACTGCTTGACATAGGCCTCTCTTTAGAAAGAAGGTTATGACCTGCTATACCACGCTGGCCAGACGGGTTGGTATAGGGTTTGTGTCAAGTTTTCCTTCTCTTTGCAGTGCTGTTGTCCTGCGTAGTTTGCTCCCTTAGCTCTTACGACACCCACGGGATGAGTAGGGATGGTGACACTTTGTATTCTTAATCCGACACTAAACGGACTGAAAAAAGCGTGTATGTATTTATAAAATAGTATATTGAGTATATTACATTCCGTTAACGTTTACACACGATATACTTCTGTCTTTTCTATCAACAAGTATTTGCGTAAAAGTAAAAAAGCCTTGAAATATTTATCAATCTCAAACAGATTGTTATGGGGAATAGTTTTTCCATCCCATGGGATATAAGTTCCATGAAATGTAGCGAGATAGTTTACGTACAAATATGAAGTAAAGATCAATTTGCGCCGCAACCATTGCTGTGGAAAATGATATGAAATCGGTTTGGTTTTTAAATTATAGTCGGATTTATACGCTTTATGTAAGCTTTTTACTTTATATATAATATACTAGCTTTAGCCTGCGGCTCCGCCCGTTATCGCGGTTGTGGAGAAACAGGTGTCATGTCCCTCCAACACAAAGGGAGGATCCTCCGACCACCCGAGGTGATCATGCCTGGCAGGCCGGGCCCAACGGTTGATATTGGGAAGTTGTATATATGCTAATCGGCGAGAGAATTCCTCATATCGCGATACAGGTTTAGCAATTCTCATTCAGTAGTTACTCCTGTCTTCGTTAGATGGTGGTGTAGTATGTTTCTATTTCGTCGTATGTGGGAGTCGCCACACGGTGAAAGATTTTTAAAATCAGTTTTGTGGTTAATTCGTGAAAGCGTAACAAACAAACTCACTATTAAATTTAAGAAATAAGTGTCGTTTTTGAAGACGTATGTGATTGCCCAGAATATGTATTTATTTAATCTGTTAGGGTCAAACAAGTAGATAGGTTACCTGATGTGAAATAACGTAATTACAGCCGGGCACTAAGAGTGCTTCTACACGGTGCAAGTACCGTAAAGAAACCATATGAACAATGAAACAATAACGGACCTCATGGGAACTGGACTCTAAGCGTCGCATGCGCACGTACAGGGCTGCTGCGAACAAATACAGAAATGTTATTATTATTTTACACCCTTACTTTTTTAGGAATTAGAGCGGTATGCTTGCAATGGCAGGTAGGAATGATAGAATAATAATTCTCTTTTGTTAAATTTTAGCTACGTTAAAGTAGGTACTGGGATTTCATTCTCTTTCGCTTCAGATGGTCTCCAGCAGAAGTCTTCCATCATCAAAGGTTGTCGCAAATTCGTCATGCTGTAGCATCTCTTTAGAGCATTATATAGGAGTTTTAACTATGTTTTTGTTAAGACAACTCCCGCACTAGGAATATATCCTGTATTGTGGGGGACTCTACAAACATGCCGTGGGAGAGCCATGCTTCGGCACGAATGGGCCGGCTCGGTGCTAAGCTATTCTTTCGTTGCCTTTCACTGAGTGAGTGAGGTTACCGGAGCCCAAATCCCCCTCCCGCTAACTCGAGCGGGAGGGACTCCAAGGGCGGTAACGCACTTCTGACTTTTGAGTTGCAGGTGTAAATAGGCGGCGGTAGTTGCTTACCATCAGGTGACCCATCTGCTCGTTTGCCCCCTTATACATGAAAAAAAATACATACATTAAACGGAAACAAAGAACACCCAGACCCAGAACATTAATTTATGGATTACACAAAGTGTCGTCCCATGTGGTGATCGAACTCACAACACTCAGCGTAGTAGGAAGCGGTTTGGCGACCGCTTAAACCACTACGACATCTGTGCAGTTACGGAGTGTAAAATATTCTGTAATCTCGAGGTTGATACAATGGTTGAGATGCCAAAGGTCTTCTTAGCGATTTGTTGGTCATAAGTATCTCCCGTCTCCATAAGTGAAAGGCTCTGAAGTTAATCTCAAATCGCGTGAAGTTCTTGATACTCGTTAAAAAATTTGGGAACTTTTAAAAGGTGACAACTCTAAATAATCCAAATATGGGTGCGCACGAGTCGCTTGCGCACCTTTCTATGCGTGACGTCACAGATCGATCCGGTTCTGTGTCAGCGAGTAAACACAACACACCTGTTGTTACCTATATTGTATAATAATGAACGAAATACTTATTGGTTGGTGTGGCAGGTGGATCAGAAGGTTTAATGGATGAAATGGATTAAATTGTCCGATAGTAAGTCATGTATATTTATATCATAGATTATTACTTGCCCTGGCTGACTGATTCATCAACGCGGAGCCTAAACCTTGAAATTTCAACAAACTGGTGCCTTTTATTTTGTTGGGGGTAAAATAAGGGATAAATGGTTGTATGGAAATTCGTTATTTGAAATTTTAGTAATACGAAATAAGAAATAATTACGATTTTCAAATAATCGCGATTTTAAAATATTCAAATGCTACCCGACCCAACATTTAAAAAAGTCCCGACACACATCTTGGATTTCAAATTTGTCACAGTGTATAGTATTCTACTAGTCAAGCCCTTTCATTTGATACCCATATTGAGGGAGTTGTAAAAAAATATGTAATCCGCCATTTTGTGGCGACGGCCATCTTGGACCGATTTTCATCAAATATGGCTAAGAACATGATCATCAACAGCCTATAACAGTCCACTGCTGGACATAGGCCTCTCCTTAGAAAGGAGGTTTTGGCCTACTATACCACGCTGGCCAGACGGGTTGATATAGGGTTTGTTTCAAATTTTCCTTCTCACAAACAAAACACCAACCACAAACTAATTCACCTTTCAAACAAAAAAAAAACCAAATCAATATCGGTTCATCCGTTCCGGAGCTACGATGCCATAAACAGACACACACACATACACAGGCACATCGAACTTATAATACCCTGTCGCTTTTGCGTCGAGGGTTAATAAACGTATCTATTGTATATAATAGATAAATTATACCCAAATAGAATCAGTAGATCTCTCGCACATCATATAATTTATTTGTCCTGGATGGTTATCAAAACCACTATCAAACTGACCTGAACCAAAAGATATATATAAAAAAAATATGTATTTAAGTATATATAAGATGATTGTTTCTAACACATTTATGGACTAATGTCTGAAATAAATTTATTTATTATTGATTTTGATTGATTGGCGACTCCCGCTCCGGCTCGTTTCTGGTGCAAAGAATGTCCGTTGCAATTCAGCGAGGCAATGCTGCCAGTATCATGGGCACCTTTGCACCGGGAGCGACGCGGGGCGGGTTATATGATCTGACTTGAAAAAAAAATAATAATATATGTAACTTAAATGTATGTATTATAATATTTATTATTATTATTATTATATGGTCAAGAAAAAGTTTAGATAGACAGATTATTCTCAAACCTTACCGCGGGTAAATGCTTATAAAGAAATTCTAAACTAAATATTCCTAATTTTCAACAGAGCATAATGTCGGCTGAAGGCGCTGGGGGGTGTGTGAATAAAGCTTTCGAGGGTGCCGACGACGGATTCCACACAATAGACCTGCGCTACGGCAGGAGTACAAACAATGATGATAACCAGAATAGACCACAGGTAAGGTGACAATTAGTGAACTTGAATCTCATCATCATGGGGTGCCATCCTCAAAATGCAGTTTGGAGGTCAGCAGACGGTACACCTCTCGATCATGAGCGGCCTCCTTTAGTTGGCGATATCGCAGTCCGGTTTAGGCCACGATGTCATCTATCCACTTCCTTCGTGGTCGACCTGGTGTCCTCCTGCCTGGTATTTTTCCTTCTAACAGAAGCCTCAGGAATTCATGTTGCGGGCCCCTTTGTATGTGTCCAAAGAAGGCCACCTTCCTTCCATTCCAAACTTGAATCTAGCTTTAATAAACAATACATCTTCAGCAACTTCTACGTAGAATGAAACAAAACATATAATAGTGCCATCTACCGACGACACGCCGAACTAGGGAGTTACTGCTTATCCCGTATCGCTATAGGAAAAGTATCGAGCTAATTTGTATATAACTTAGTATTTATCTATATAGAACTTCCTAATAAATATCAACCTTTAGGCCGCGGCCGGCCAGGCATGATCGAATTGCCTGGTCGGAGGATCCTCCTTCTGTGTTGGAGGGTCTTGATACCCGTTCCTCCACACATCTATCTTAGATGTCGATAGTAGAAAACAGATAATAATATATCATATTTGGGAAATTGGCCTTGATGTTAAACTTACTAGTTAGTGATTATTAGAGAAAAAACCCAGTAGAAATGTCTACTGGTATGTCTTGTATTCCTATGACCAAAAATCGAATGATACAATTTTGACATCTTAATAGATTTTCTTATTTTTCTGCGAAAAACTGTACGCATTATGTTTTATTTTTATTGATTTCTTTAGATCCCTAGCGGAGAATACAATTTACATGATCATACATTTATTTAGACCTTTGCTTCTTCAATTATAAGAGATCACATCATGCAGTTTTAAGCTTTTGTTCTTCCTTTGTTAAAAACATTTCAAACAGTTCAAAAACTGTTTCAAATGTTTATAACAAATTCTCTGATGTAAAATAATAATATATCACTTTAGGCGTGAAATTGCCAAAAATCCTTTCTTAGTGGGTGTTTACAACATAAAAGCATCAGGCTGCCAAAATTGTAAGTTTTTAGGCCCAGTAGTTTATCATCAGTCGGTCATTCATGCTTGCCCAGACATTTTATATGTATGGATAACTGATATTACACATATATGTATTCAAGGCTTAAGGTATATGAGTAAAAGAATATCATACCACATCAGATGTTTCTTCCCATAGCCGTGACAGTCATTTCTGTAGTATTAAGGATTGATGGTTTCAATGTGTGCGGGTCTCTTTGTGTGAGATGAGATGAATGTTCCTGTAGTTCATTGGTGTATTCCTGGTCACGTTCATAGTATTTTGTTGATTAATGGTACAACAGTTTTGGTGTTTTATCATTATTGATGTTATAAATTGCGTACGATTTAGTAGTAGTGAATACGATTGAGTGCGTGTATGTGTGTGTGTGTTTGTTACACGAGTTAAATTTTAATGTTATAGTGGATTGAATAAAATGTGGAAGTGTGACAGTCTTAAACCGACTTCAAAGAAAGAGGATGTTTTCATTTGGTTTTGTTTTTGTTTGTTACCTCAGAACTACGTCATTTTTGAATCAATTTTGCAAACACGGTCTCCCAGACTTGACGTAAATATGCTTTCTTTCTGGCTGTAAACGCGATAAATAATTTCATTCCCAAGGATATTTGTTAACAAACATGGGTTAACTCAAAAATCTGTTACACATTACATCGATCCCAAATAAAATTGGGAAAAGTACAGAAAAACCGTTAAACAATCTCAGATCAAATTAAAAAGTTAAGGTACTCTGTGAACAAAGAAGTGAGGCTAATTAAAACTGCGTCTTGGAGTATACTTACACAATAAAACGAAGCTATGCGTTATCATTCAAAACGTCATTAATATTTACAAGTGTCAACAATATTTACAAGTAAAAATGCCGAATTGTGTTCTGAAAATGTGTAAAAATGAAACTACAAGAAACACGCACACATACGAGTATTTATAAAACCGGCGTCACTTCGTTCTTCGCAAAGTTCCATCTTTTTTTATTTTATCTGAGAAAACTAGTGAATAAAATACACACATACATTTACTTACTTAAATATTAAACAAGATAATGTATTTATGTCGATATCAATAATGGATTCATTCAGCTACTTACATCCAGTACGCACATAATTGGTACAAAGAAAGTACATTACAAAACGGTTAAGGTATAGTTAAGAGCCACTCTGAAGCTATTCTCGATTTCCCTCCAAAGCCATAAATATGGCGCGAATTTCATTAAGTTCCAAATTCAAATTAAAGTCACGTCAAGTTCGCACGTGCGCAGTACTGCTACGGAGTACAGATTAAAAATTGGAGTGCTCTCGAGCTCAAGGAGGTTAAATTAATTTATTAGTGTCTATACTTCCGTTTAAAATTAAGGGAGTCTTTCCGTTAGAATTAAAGTAACAAGGATGTTAAATTTTAATTGGTATTCATTTCGGACTTTATAAAGAATATTTATTTCATTTATGTTTATATTATTATACATTATAAGTTTCTTAAAACTGACAATTTCATAATTTAAATTTGTTTCTGCATGTTACATGACTGGCGATCACCTGGCGGTCAAATTTCGAACGTTTTAAGGGCCTTGTTTAATTTCATTAACCGTATAACTTGATCTGTTATTGCACAGACTTTTGCACATACTAAACGCGGAAAAAGCATTTAGAGCCCAACAGTTGGACGCAATTTTTTTCTCTGTTTAGACAGCTTTGACTGTCCATCTAGACATAATAATAAATGGACTAAATATAGATAAACGCTATATAGTCGTTTCTAATTCTGGTAGTAATAGTAAAAGTAATTTTGTTTAAGAATTACTTTTACATTATAAACAATTAGTATTGCCTCGCGTGCGCATTTTTTTTTAATAAATGTGCGAAAAATATAATACATTAATAAACAAACATATTTTTAAAATGATACGAATTGCCTTCTTTGTAAATAACTGTGAAGAAATAAGTTAAAATAAAGTCTCCAGAATTTACAATCATAAAACATTTTATCATAAATGATTTCACGAATCACAATCAGAAGACACTTTTTTTAACATTTGTAAATACTCATCACAATTTTTAATATCTGTTTCGGGCATAATAGTTTCTCATTCTTTTCCATATACTACAATATCCCTGTTTATAAACGGTGGTGGACGCTAACAGCCCTCAGTACACCGCGAGGGCTCGTCCCGCCCGCCCATATTGAGACGTTAAGAGGCGTGCGCGCGAAACTTTTCTCGGTGACGAACAGATTTCCCGAAACGCGAGTTGTACCCACGGAATGACATAACAACTTTTTCGTAAAAAGAATAATTGGAATTGGTGTTTAAAATGGTAATGATTTGTTTTTTATTTATGGAACTTCCTTTTTTAAACTTTTGTAATATTGTTTCTATAAACTTTAATGTTTATAATTGTCTTTTTAGTTGTCTATGGTGTTTATAGGCAAAAACTGATATTTTAAGACTAACTAGCAGATTGGACAGTCCTTGGCCTGACAAAAAAGTACTTCCAGTTTCCCTATTTTGTGGGCAATTATTGCCAATTTTTTTTCCTAAAAACCTGATTTGGACTATTATAATAATGAGCTAAATTAATCTAGCCGTTTCAAAGTTCTACGCTTAGATACCATTGAACGTCATTTAATTTTTTAAATTACATATACAGTATACAATATTTTAAAATTTATCTCAACCTGAGCTGAAGTACTTTTTTTTAATGTAAAGAAATTTGTTAAATACTTTCTGGTCATAAATATAATTAAAACACTGAAAAAATACCCTAGGTTTTGGTGTATTCTTAGACCCCCTATATTATTTACATACCTTATATACTGTCCTGCATAGTTACGGATATGAATTCCCATAAATATAGAAACATGACCATATTTTTTATTCTAATTCAAAAAATAAATACACACAGTTTCAATCGCACAATTAAAAAGAATGTTGTGTTTGGAATAATTATATTTTGTTGTTTTCGCCAGCTGTTCACCGATTGAGTCAACGCTAAAAAATATTTTATTAAAAAAACACCTTAATTATAGACATAATGAGCCTCGTGTAGACGCATATTTAAAAAAAAGGATAATAGATTTTGATTTTATATTTGATAATAGAATTTATTAATTTCTTAAAATATTATGATACTGGCAGTTAGTTTCTTTCGATAAATATTCTTTAAAAGTGGCTCTATAAGTAAATTTTAAGGTTTATATTACTAGTTTAAATATAAGGGTTATATTTACAAAATATTCTGTTTTATATGTAACAATATAATCTATAAAAATAAAGAAAATTGAAGTGTCTGTTTGTAATGTCAAAATAATAGGTATTTTAATGCTCACACGGTTATTTGCTGGATACCTATGCCTAAAAACCACTTTAATTTTTTTTGTCTGGTCTGGTTGTTCGGGTAATCTTGGACCGATTTTGATAATATTTTAATACCAGGTAGCTGAAAAATAGCCTAAGTTAATCCTTATATAAGGAGTAACTTAGGCTATTTTTCCTCTCAGAAAAACCCTATAAAATTTTGCCTTGTCCGGGAATCGAACCCACCAAGGCAGCGCTTTTCAAATTCCACGCGAACGAAGTCGCGGGTACCAGCTAGTATTGTATAACACTAAACTAAACAACAGGTTCGAATTTAAAGAAATCATCTATTATGTTCAACATCTGCTTATGTTTTCTAATATACAATATATTCACACACATAAAATAATCACAATTTAACAAACACTTGTAGGTAAAATTTTCATGCTAATGCTTAGTAACATGAAAACAACCGCATAAAACCCTAAATATAACCACAACACATAAAACAACTTAAATAACAATTACAGATACATATACAAATCAAACTTATTGTAATAAATTATAATATGATTATACGGATAGCGTAGTGGTTTAAGCGGGCGTCACGCCGCTTCC